TGTCGATTTTGAGACGAACGAAGAAATTTTGTGTGGTTTGCGCACGTATATTGGAAGTAAGAAGCAAGGTAAGTAGGTGAAGAAGGAGAGTCAAGATAAGAGAATAAAGTGGTTAGTGCCCTCTGCTGCCTGCGCAAGCGTATGGGCAGCCACTTCAGTTGCATCCTATGTGCAGAAATATGATCATATTTACGTAAGTTGAAAACGAATCGAATGCAGTTATTTAGAAGTCGGTCTAACTTGTTGAGTAGATCTGCATTCAGGTCGTAGTAACAGACATCAGCGTAATCAATAATCGGGAAAATCAAGGTCTGCACAAGCTGCGTCTTCACAGAGGACGGAAGAAAGTTCCTCAGACGATACAGAGCCCGCAACGATCCAGTCACCCTTTGGCAAACACTTGCGACCTGAGCACGCCAGCTCAATGTGCTATCAATAATCAGGCCCAAATCCTTCACGTCCCGACTGAACGGGACAGTCACACCATTATACGAGATAGGAGGCAGTGCTGCACCGTCAATCGATCCAAGATTCCGAGAGCTACCTATGATGATGGCCTGGCACTTGTTTGGGTTTACAGCTATGCCAAACCTCTCCGACCAATTTTGAACAGCTGTTAGATCACTATTAAGTTTACTGATAGCACTGGGCAGATCGTCCACCCCAGATTGACGGTACAGCTGCAAGTCGTCCGCATACAAATGGTACGCACACTGAAGTTCAGGAGTGATAAGGTTGATAAAAATAGAGAAAAGAAGTGGAGAAAGAATGCCGCCCTGAGGAACGCCTGCCGTCAAGTCACACCAGTCAGAGAACTTCTCATCATACTGGACAGACTGCTGACGCTCCCGAAGGTATGAAGAGAACCATTCCAGTGATTTGCCAGAGATCGCAAGATGGGATAGGATTGCCAAAAGGATATCGTGACTGACCATATTAAACGCGTTCGAAAAATCAACCAATACCAAAAGTGTTACTTTGGTATCCTCCATACCAGCCCTAACATCGCCAGTCACTTTAAGGAGGGAAGTTATAGTGCTGTGGCCAGGTCGAAACCCAGATTGCAACGGGCTTATTAAGCTATGATTGTAAACAAAGTGAGACAATTGTTTATGGACACAAGCCTCCAGCACCTTAGATAGGAAGGGAAGGATTGAGATAGGACGGAAGTGGGTCGGCAGAGTGGGAGTACTAATCTTAGGTAAGGGTCGAACAAAAGCTTTACGCCAAACTGCTGGAAATACACCGGAGAACATGGAGAAATTTATAATATGAGTAATCGGTGACAGCACGTGGTCTAGGATATATGTGATCATATCTCGGGATAAGGAGTCACAACCCACAGCTTTTGATTTAATGGAAAGGATAATCTTACGAATCTCCGTCGCATCAGCTGGAATGAAACAGAAATTGTTTATGTTGGGACGCGTCAGACCACTGATAAAAGACAAGGTGTTTAGTCTGGTTAGTTGATCTAGAGTAGGAACAGTGGAGAAATGTTGGTTAAGGTCATCTAAACCAATTGTTATAGACAGGTCTGAATTTTGAGGTTTACCAATACCAAGAGTCCGGAAAAATTTCCAGATATTGGCTGGAGATGAATAAGAAATATTATTGAGAATATGACGGCGCTTAGCGTTACGTACCATTTGGTTACATCTGTTTCTCGCAATTTTAAAAGCCTCCCAGTTCTCGTCAGTACGATTTCTCCTATGCCTGCGGAACGCGCGGTCCCTACGACGCATTGCCATCTGTACTCCTGCGGTCATCCAAGGCGCCGGTGGACGCCTAACCGTGATCCTTCTGATGGGTGCATGACGGTCGTATAGACTAACGAGAGACGCATTAAAAATTGCTACCTTTTCGTCAACTGTTTCCGCCTCAAAAAGCGGCCCCCAATCGAGTGTCGATGCATCACCCCGAAGTCTCTCCCCATCCATCCCCGCAAAACAGCGCCTGTACAGAACCCTGGGTTTGACCTTGGGTGGTTTGAGGGCATAGGATAGGTAAATAAGGTCATGATGGGAAAATCCAGGAGCGTCATGCTGACCATGAAAGGGAACCAAGGAAGGATTCGAAGTGAGTATAAGATCGAGCCAAGAGTCATCAGCAACAGTATTGTGATGAGTAGCATTCAGCGGTAAGATGTGAAGACTCGCTGACTCGATAAGATGAAGGAGCTTATTAGCTCTAGAGGAGTTTGGTAGAAGGAGATCGGTATTAAAATCACCCATGATCACGTGATGTTCGTACTCAGAACCCAAAGATTCTAGAACTGACTCGAATTCAGTGAAGTAGTCATTAGTTGGAGGGCAGTAAATAACACCCAGGACCATTTTAACCCCCCGGACACAAACCTCTAGAAATAAATATTCCGCAGAAGAATTTGGAGACGATGAAAAGAGTATTCTGTGAGGAAAGTTACTACGGAGGTAAATTGCCACGCCACCTCCCCGTCTTACAATCCGATCATTCCGAAGAAGAACGTAACCAGTAAGGGGGTAAGTGGTCGATAAGAGTTGAGGTTTGAGCCAGGTTTCGGAAATCAGAATGGCATGAACATTGCCATTGTTAAACGCATCAAAGAGGTCACTGTAGTGACTGGGAACACTCTGTGCGTTTATATGGCAAACATTGAAAAATCTGCCGCTCTTATCGGAAAAAGAGCGATCGATGAAGTCTGCAAGAGTAACACCCAACGAGCAAAAACTATCACTATTAGAGGCATCATCATTAGCTGAAACAAAAGAATCACTATCTGACATAATAAATTATAAAACTGTGTATATAAATAAATATAAATAATAAAAATATGTAAATATTAAATTGATTTTGAAAAGCTAAATACATAAATATCAATGAACTAAAAATTATTCTAATCACCTAACCCAGCACCACCCGCCGGCCGACATCGACATCAACAAAAATTAAGACAATACAAAAGCAAAAAAAAAAAAATCATAACATGATGAGAAAAAATGAATAAAACAATATTTTACTACTTACTCTGGTACCATTTCCGAACGCATCTAAAATAGCGACTGTCACTGTCACAAGCCAACAACACTGACAAATGACATATTGATGGATGCTAAAATGAACTGTCAAACTACACACACAACAATCAACATGCTTTGTGATGAACTGACGACAATGTTATGAAAAATAAAATAATATGATTGCCGTATTCTGTGATAAAGACAAACCAAATGAAATAAACGGATGATACAAATGCACGAGATGGAACAAGGTTAAAATGGCACCAGCTACAAGCTATGATATGAATGATAAATTAAATTCTTATCGTGAGAGTAGTATATAATATTATTATGGAAAATGGAATGAAGGAATCTACCCACAAGTAAGTTAAGTTACAATAAGCATGACATGGACAGTACAAATTATGAAACATTACATTATGAAACATTACCTTGCAGTCTGCCATTAATTACTTGTTCTGTTTCAGATTCCCTGCATTCTCCACCCTACTCCTACTTGTTGATGGAGACACAGGCAACAGCTTAGGATACTTCTCAATCAAAGGACTCAGCTCATCCATGGAAGAGATTTTATGACGTTTCCCATCAGCAGTCTTGATATTTATGATGCAGTCCTGAGTCCAACAGAACCTCATACCAAAGTGCTGCCGTGCCCTGCCAAACACTGTCTGCCTGCCACGCGTCAGAAACTCCTTCATTGAAACCGGACTACCCTTCAGTTTGGTCTTAACCTTCCACACCGATGCCTTTGTGCCCGTAGAATCAAAACGGATGAGTATAGGCCGGTTATGATCTTTCTTCGCACTACCAAGCCTCTGGCAAGATTTTATAGATGATGATTGAAGGTTGAGGTCCAGCTTCCGTTTAAAGAGATCAAGCATCATCTTGCTGCAGTCTTCATTGTCAGCCTCTGCAACTCCATTAATGACGAGAGCCTTCCGTCTGTGTCTTGTTTCTGTCAAATCATTTTGCTTGGAACACTCAGCAATCTGGTTTTGGAGCAGTCCCAGCATTTTGTACACCAAAACACGGAATGTACGGAACTCGTCAGCCAACTTCGCCACCGTGTCTTTAGCAGAGCTTGCACACTCCATCTGAGCCTGCAGCTCCCCCATCCCTGCCAACAGTTTCTCCTCCATTGTTCTGGCGACGGAAAGGACATCATCTAACCGTGGCATAGTGACTATTTCGTGCTTGCAGTAAAGTGATGAGAGTGAACGTGACTTGTCGAAGTGGCAGCAGGTGGTACAAATTTCTTGATTTTAAACTTGCATATCACATCAGATGATTATTAAATTATTACTTATATTAAATTATTAAATTATATTATGATTATTAAAATTATTATATCTAAATATTTACTATTAAAACTGTAAATTTATATTTTTAATGCAAATAAAAGAATTTATGTGTCTGTACTCATTGAGCACCTACCCGCGAATTGAAATCTTATAAGCGCCGTAGTGCGGCCGGGGCCTTATTAAGTTATTATTATTACTATTGAATGTAGTGACGTCACAATAAAACATCACCTCTTACCATCGTCTAGAGAAATGCCAACATGGCTGATATATGGTATTAGATTAGAAATGTAGCAATTGATAAACAAGTTGTTTTGTAGATAATCTATAGGTACTTATAAAATATCGTGTCTTGAGTCCTGACTGACTAATTCATATTCGTCGAGTGCAACTATTGCTACAAACATAAAATTCGGACTGTATATCCACTTTGTTAAGCCTTTGACTGCCAATAGAATCTTCTACTATCGTCGGTCACCTGTGATCCCCTTGGCGTTTAACGTGTTTAGTAAGCACTCCCTAAGAATGGATTTTAAGAAATTCCACCCTAAGGGGTCAATTTAAGTTGTTGATTTATATGAAAGTTCGTCATTTCGAAAGTAAAATAAACAAAGTTTCGGTTGTTGACGTAAAACGAAAACGTGGGTATGTATGTGTTTCAGCAATTTGGGAAATTTTACTAAATAAATGATAAAATAAGGGCTTAAAGTTTGTATGGAACTTGTTCTGTTTATTATCTTAGGAACACTAACAAGGACGTTAAAATTCAACGTCTTTGTGTAAGTTCATAAAAGAGTTTAGCTTCGTGTGTATTCAATACTCAACCACAAAAAAAGTAATAAAAAGAAGAATACAAATAATTTGATTTCATGACAGCCGTCAAACAGCCATCATAAAATTAAAAATGGATTGTCAGGTTACGAAGATTTTATAAATAAATTTAGAAAATAATTATACAATAAATACCTACATAAGAAAAATGAAATACAAAACGTTTTTATAACAAAACATATTGGGATGTAGGTGATGGAATGAGGTAACAACTACTTTTAGGTATCTAATAGGTCCTGTAGCTTTGGTTTTGGTAGATAATCGTAGTTTCGGTACCAAAAAGGTGTGAATTTTCGAATAAGGTTTCTGCAACCACAGTCATGTACTGTAAACCTTACAAGGCATTTACTACTTTGAGTTTATCATTTTTAACATTTTAAAGTTCATCATGTCTCGTTGTACAAATTGACCTACTACTGCTGTCCAGTAATTGACATGTTTTCCATCAGGTTTTGAAATCAGCAAGCTTGATTTGCGGCAGTTTGGGGTCGAAGATTACAGCAAAAGTATCTGCAACAACAAGGCCGAATCAAAATAAAAAAGTGTAAACAACAAGTAAAAAATGTGTAGCGTAATACCACCTTTATTCAAGAAAGTGGACGTGTCATGTTCATGTACAAATTGTGACTCTGTATTTTGTACTGCGAAGGAGAATGAGGTCAAGTCCTGCTCGTGCGAGGACTGCTCAGGCTCCAAGACCTGCATGTTCTACTCATCCGTCGCCTTATATGGGAGTCACTCAGATGCAACGAATGCTCGTTCTTGTTCAAGAACATTGCCGAATGTTGTGTCCGACGTAGCTCGATACATAGCTACCAGTGTAGCTCATTTAGTATCTCCTCAAACTATCAATTCATCATGTTGTGCAGCCACATCGCCAACTACTACAACAACAACTAATGACACCGGTACTAATACAATAGAATTGTATAGAAAACTTAATTCACAATGTTCAAGAAATAAACTAGAACGATTAAAGAAGGCATACTTGTCACATAAAAAGGAACCTAGCCCACCTGCCTTGGCATGCGATGCAAATGTCTGCCAGATAGAGCAACAGGATTTCACATCAAAAAAAACTGTACCAAATGATCGTACAATGGGAATTTATAGAACTGAGATATTAAAACAAAAATTGGCTGCGGAAGCAGTTAAAAGTATTTATGTGCCAGATTTAGCTTCAAATAAAAAACCCGAGGAACCAAATTGTCATTCCGATAAATGTTCAAAATGTATGTTACAAAAACTCACTGGATATATTAAGGATTTACATAAAAATAATCAAATCGATGAAGTTCCTCAAAACAAGCCAATCAAACCAGCCAAAAAAGGATCAGAAAATTTTGATTTTACTCATATATTGGATTCAAATTGGAATACAATTGAAACACCTGGATATCAATATGCACACAAATCTCAAAATTGTGAATGTATTGACTGTGTGGAAAAAAAAGAAGAAAAGGACGCCACCCACGTATTTATGTTTGATCCTCCTGGATATATACTTGATTTACCGAAAATTCAATTATCACAGAAGTATATACCTCACTCGACGTCTTGCAGTTGCGAAGGTGAGAAATCAAAGGTACCTAACATATGCACAAATGTATCAGATACTGCACAGAAAGAAAAGTGTGTGTGTGTGGCGAAAAAGATGTCTGGATCTCAACATGGCAGTCAATGTGAATCCGATGCAAAATGTGTAACACAGAAGCTGGAGAAACCTGAAAGTAAAATTAAATGTACGGATAGTAAGAACAGTAACGTTGATGCTGCTGGACATGCAATGGATGAACCGACAAACGACGTACCAATTAAAACAAGTGTTGATAAATTGAAAGAAAATTGTTTTAATAACTCAACGTTTTGTAGTTACCATGTTGAAGAACAAAAATCTACACAGAAAATTGAACAAAAGAAACCTGAAACTGAATCGAAAGACACCGATCAATCACCGCTCTATTCAAAGGATATGAATATTAAAAATACACAAGACCTGAATCAAGTTAAACTTGAAACACTACAGGAAGTATCCAAAAAAGATATTTGTGAGTGCAATGTAACAGGAAAAGTAATGAATGAATCTAGTGGATATGTTTTAGAACTAGAACAATATAAACCAACGAAAAACGCTCAAGACTTAGTTAAAGATGTACTTGTGACACAAGAAAATGTTGTGACTGAACTACCAGATATGGATATGCTTAAGAAAAAGTTATGTGAGTGCAAAGCAAAACCAAAAAGTAAGTTCGAGCCATCCGGATATGTGTTTGACGTACCAAAAAGTATACCTAAACAGAAAGGTTGCGATGTTGTATCTAACCAGAAATGTAACGAGATTGTATGTAATGATAAAAAGAGTTGGGGAAGTGGTACTTCTAAAACCAAAATCGAATTGCCAGGATATGTTGTTAAACAAATAATAACACCCGAGAAGAAAAAGTGTGAATGTAGTGAACCACCAAAATTAATAGGATTTTCATTCGAGTCACCTAAAGTTGTACACTGTGTGAACATGGAACATCGTGATGTTTGTAGATGTTCAGAGTCTGACAAAAACCAACGAGCATTTAATGAAAATAATACAAATATGAACTGTAAATGTAAAGCAACAGCAAAATGTAAATCATCTGGGTTTATGCTTGATTTACCAACATATAAACCTTGTCCATCAGCACGGAAAGATAGTTGTGGATGTAAAGGGCTAGACAAAAATAGGACAGGATCATATGGAAATATGTTTGACTTCCCAAAGACTACTCAAAAAAGTTGTAAGTGTCCAGAATCTACAAAAAACACATTTGATGTTAATCGACTTGAAATGCCATCCAAAAATTCAAATAAAAATAATGAAGGCTGTGTGTGTAAAGGAACAGCTAAATGTAGACAATCTTCTACACCAGGGTATGTGGTTGAATTGCCAACAAATAAGTCTGACGGTTGTGCGTGTCCTAAACCGCCAAAACCGACCATGGCTGAAAATAAATGTGAATGTAATGATGCATGCAGAAATATAGCAAGTTCTAATCAAGAAGGATTTAACAATAAAGATTTAGAAGAGTTAGCTGCAAAATGTAAAGATAAACGATCTGGTTATATTTTCGATTTACCGGTAACTAAGCCACAGAAAGGTAGTTGCGAATGTCGCGAGGCAAAAGAAAAGGTAAATCAACCAATATGTATGCCTAAACCAATACCACCTAAAGGAAATTGTGAATGTTCCGAACCAGAAAATAAAGAAGATTTAAGTAAATACGTATATGTGTTACCGAAACATAAACCACAAACAAGTTGCTGTAAATGCTGTCCTCAAATGACACAACAGAAACCCATACCAGAAACAAAAAAAAGTACCTGTGAATGTCGTGAGGCAAAAAACAAAGTGGATCAACCAACATGTATGCCTAAACCTAAAAAAAACTGTGATTGTCCTGAACCAGAAAATAAGGTAGATTTAAGTAAATATGTATATGTGTTACCGAAACCACCTAGTACATCCAAGACTGTCATTAAGTGCGATTGTGGCCAGTCAAAAAATAAGATTAATGCTGAGCCTAATCAACCAATGTGTACGCCTAAGCCAATAACACCGAAAGTCAAATGTCAATGCCCTCGTGAATCGGTATCATGTAAATCTAAACCAATAACACAACTAGATCCTTGTGAGTGCCCTTCTAAAACAAAAGAACTGGCAATGGATTCGTCCGGATACGTGTTAGATTTGAAGCCATCAAAAAAAAAAAGTTGTGTGTGTACCCCTTCAGAACAAAATAAATCCGACTTAGCTGGATATGTCTTAGAACTGCCTCGATATAAACGTACTGATCATAAGCCTGACAAATGTGAATGTACAGCAAAAAAAAAATCAGCATCAAAGGCCAGTCAAGTATACAGAATTGAGACAACTGTCATATCTCCGGAAACACAAAATGTATGCAACAATATGCTTGGCAAACAGTCGGATACAAACGAGTTGCTTAAAAAATTTTCTTCACCACGCCCAACACTAAAGAAACATACTGATCTATGTAAAAACATACTGAAAACACAAACAGAAGCAATTGAAATATTAAAAAAGATATATTTACCTCATAAAGAGGTTCCAAAATCACCGGCAAACTCTGATGAACCTAACGAAAATCTAAATTTGTCTAGTGATGATAAAACAACAGTCACATGCCCTAAAGAATGTCAAATGACTGAAACTGAAGCCGATGAAGCTGCGCATTTACTCGGTACAGCGATGCTTAGTGCAGAAGTGATGAATATGCCTTATACAGAATTTAATGATTCTTTAGCTCCCAAGCAATCCGATATGGAGAAACCAACAAAACTGTCAAAATATGATATTTTTAAAAGAATAAAAGAAGCTTACAAAGCTTGTAGTTGTAAAGTTTGTGAATGTATTGCCGGTAAGGTCAAAGCCGAGGCTTGTAATTGTAAGCCTTGTGAATGCAACGAATGTTTGAGCTACATAAATCAAACTGAAACAAAAACATCAAACAACGGCATGGGCATTAACAGAAAATATCAGTGCCATAGATGCATAACCAACAAACGTTTAAGGACTGAGCATGGAACAAGTAACCAACAAATATGTGATTGTAAACCTTGTGATTGTGTTGAATGTGCTAAAGTTATAGCGAAACTCTGTGATTGCGAACCATGCCAGTGTGTGGAATGTAAAACAAGAAGTATACACCAACGGCAAACTTTAGTAGTTGCGCCTGTTGGAAGAGAAGAGAATGTTCAACGTTTAGCATGTACGTGTTCACCATGTGATTGCATCGAATGTGGACTCGTTCACTCCTTGCCTTCTAACGTAATGCATGAAATGTCAACGGGCACGAATAGACATGCTTTATGCAGATGCGACATTTGTCTCAACGAAGTTTGTGATCAACATGGAGTTGATTCCTGTTCATGTCAAAGACGAAATAAGGTTATGAGTAAACCAGTTGAAAAAAGTACTCATGATTTCGATATACGAACAGCTACAACGAATTATAACAAACCCCTATATACACGGAGAAGAAAGAAATCTTCAACCCATGATACTATAGCAATGTACGCAGCAGTACCTACGAATTACCATGCCTTAACCTCTAATGATGACATATCAAGCAATGATCAAATGTGTAATTGCGACGAATGCGAGTGTTTACATTGCATTTGCCAAAACGAAGCAGTTATGAACATAAAATCGTCTCAACTGTTTTCTTCTTTTAGAACAATAACAAAATCCGATCTGAACGTCCCCAGCAAATCCATATTAAACTATCATGAAGATAGTAAATCGCAAAGGTCATGTAGTTGCCAATTGTGCAAAAGACAGTATGATTACAGCCATAGTATTTACACTTCAGCTTCCAATTTTACCGAAGACTGCGAATGTGAACCTTGTGAATGTATAAAGTGTGGAAGGGATATAAAATCTGACCGTTATCTGTCAAACATTTCATGTCAAAGTGTCAAATCAAAACCCACCTATGATATTAATTATAGAAAAGAAATGCTTGGGACTGCTTTACCACTTATTAAAAAGGGTGAAGTATTGACTCCATCTACCCATAGATTTAAAGTGCAAAATCAAGCACTGCGAAAACAAAACTCTAACGCATTAAGCGTATCAGTAAAGGAAGTGATGTCAAATAAAAAATCCCCAATAACTATTATTTCTCACAAATTAACAAATCAAAGTTCAAGGCTTTCTAAGCAATCATCCGGAATGAGTCCCTCAATCAAAATAGGTTCCATAACAAAAGCAAATATAAGTGACACAAAGAAGACACAGATTATAAATAAAAATAATTCTGTAGATAATGAAATATCAAGTTACTTCTCTGGTTATTCGTCGTTTAATACTTCCCCTATCGCATCTGGTCACAGAAAATATGGAGGTAGTACCAGTCCAATGTCACGAAATAAATATAAGTCTTGGGAAAGCTCTTGCAATAGTTCTGGCCACGATTACCCGGAATATTTAATACAATTTCCACCATCGACCTTAGATACTGGTTTAGTAGATGTAATAGAATTAAATAGTAACCAAACAAAAACTTCTGAAAAATCGAATTTATCTCCAAACAGTTATTCAAATTATAACATTGATAAATTATCGTATGATGATGTATCCATTAGAGAAAACACTACAGATAAAAGTAGTCTTTTAGATACATTTAAATCCGAGATGACTACCAATAAAAAAAATGATTTAAAAAATTCACAAAATGGACAAAAATATTATGATTCTCACAACAACCGTGATAAAATATCCTGTTTCCGTGACGTACCAGAACATGGTGTTTTAGCAAGTTCTCAATTTTACAAGTTAGAAATGAAACACAAGTCAAATTATCAGAAGAATCAAAATATCAAATCTATTACAAACAAGGATGACTTACAAGACTCTACATATTTTATTGATAGCAGATGTTCATTAAAAAATGATAGAAAGAAGACAAAAGATTTTAATTTAATCAATAATTTTAATAACTTTTATCGGGCTCAAAAAGTATTTGATTCTAAAATAGTGCAGAAAAAAACCGCCAGCGTTGTATTACCTGTGCATAGAGAAGTACATAACAATAATAATAAAATTTGGTACCCAAAATGTATACCGCGACCATCTCTAATTAATTATAATACTGAAATTATAAATGCAGCTGATTTTAAAAGAGTACGCAAAACTCTTAAGGAAGCAAAGGAGTTTTCTTTGGAGTTGATGAGGCTGCTAATCATGTACGAAAATGCAAACAAAGAATTTGAAAGTATTTCTGACAAGCTGAAACTATCCCACGCGTGTCTGATTAGTGGCGATTTTGAAGTTAGGAGAGAGGAAAACGGTGATAAAACGGATGTTATGAAGAAAAAACAAGATCAAGAAAAGTGCTATAACTTAATAGAAAATGCGTTACATGGGAGACGTTCAGAACCACAATCAGCAGAACTTAATACAGATCTACAAATAACCACCATATGTAAAAAGAATATTTCAAATTTGGAAAAAGTTAAAAGAGAAGATGATTGGTCTGAAGATGTTGCTCAAACACGAAAACTAAATCGATTAGAAGAAATTGAGTTAAATTTAAATAGAGATGAACAATCTCATAATAACATGGCAAAAGAAAAAACCAGTGAGCGAATTGAAGCTGCAGAAAATATAGAGGCGGAAAAAGACATCTCAGACGTCTCCAATCGAATAGCTAAGAACAACGAAGACATAAGAAAGGGAGAGCAAATAAATAAGAAAAATTATACAAAATACAAGAAGCCGAGACGAAAAGTAATCATATCAAAAAAGATTAGTGTGCGAAACTCGAATGAAATGAAAGCCAAATCATATATAAAACAGCGTATAACCTTTGGAACATCAACCACTGAGCTGTCTGATAGCACATCAAAGAGTATCAACGAGCCCCATACGAAGCTATCGGTTAATTTTTCTGAGAAAGTGGATCAACAAAAAAATAATGCAGAAGAACATTACAATAATTTAACGCAGATTATGAAAAAAATAGACAGCGTTTTTGCAGGTATCGAAGAGATTCCCATAACAACTTCTACTGAAACTAATGAGTTTCATAACCACTTGGATAGCTACGCGTCCAACAACACTGTCAAACATGTGAGTACATTGAATTTAATATTGGTTTAATTATACATTTATTTATAGATAAAGTTTCTTATCCTAATCAGTTTTCTTTAAACCGCTAGGAAATTAAAGATACAAGTCCTTGGCCAATTTTACGCAAAAACTTCAGTTGGAGTGCTAGACCTCAAACAAAGAGTAACGTTTGCAATTTTCCGTCGTTGGACCTTCAAATAAAGCAAAGGGTGCAGTCAATATCACAACAGACTGCTACACCCAGGAAGAGACGACACGAAAATAAAGCTTTAGTGAGTTAATTTATTGTATTATAGTCAATGTTAAATTATTTAGTTATGTTTTCTGTACTGTATCTATTAAAAGTGCGACAAAGAATCTGTAAAAGCCGTAGTGATTTTTTTAAGACCAGTAGTACTTTGCTCAACCCGGGAATCGATCCCGAGACCTTGCCCGGCAGTTGCACTTGCGACCACTCGGCCAACGAGGTAGTCAGTGCTTTAAATATAACTAAGCGTAATAATAAAATTGCACGACATTTAAAACCTACTCGTAACTTAAGAACAACACTGAAGGTCCGGCCAACATTAGGATGTAAATTAATATGTAGAGTGATTAAAGATTCGTTTTTAACTCTTAAACAACTTTAGGCTAGTCTACATGTTGAAGTGCAGAAACTCTTGGATATGCCAATATTACAATCGCAACAGTGTAATAAATATCCTGTCGAATATCCGAAAGAAATCTTGAAGATGCAGCCTAAGGTTACTTACATGTCCTACTTAGCTACACTTGCTATATCTACCTAGTTATAAATAAGTTGGTAGTACTTAGGTTTCAATTCTGTCGTAAAACATGTTTCTGCTCGATTCATTTGCCTACTTAGGTTACACATTACAGTCCTTTTATATCCCTGAACAAGGAAAGCACTTTACAGAATTGAACCTACTGCGTACTATATTAGTAGGCATTACGGTTAGGTTAGACTAGTATTCCTAAACCCCAGCTTTATCTTACTACGACAGATGCACTGTTGAGATTTTGAAGCCAGCACGCAGCGCGCATCACACAGAACGCAGAGCAATTAACCTAAGGCCTTGTGAAAAAAAACGGAATGATCTTCAGGCGGACTCGGGATTCTTGTCAAATTTTCCATAAGATCCTTCTGCAGAAAATCCAACGGGGACTATCTGGTTGAAAATTATACGTCTTTCCGTCTGATGCGCCGGCGGTGTTTAGTGCAATCCTCTCACGGGATACAAAGAATACAAAATCTATCAACTTACAATCGCTGTGTACTCTGATGTAGACGTAGACGCAATTGAAATAAAACAATAGTATCAATCCAAAATCCCTGTTTTCTTCGCACCCGTACAGTTGTAATAAAGTAGCCATATTGTAGAAATTCTTTCAGGCAATAACTGAAACAAAGTTTGAAGAAATCCCAGAGTCGTCATACAGGCGTAAGCTGGATAAAGAAGCGCGTGGCAGTTACGCGGTACGTAATTGATTTTTTATCGAATGAATCCACCCATTTATGAAATCAGCGGGAATAGGGTTTTTTTTTTGAAGGGGGGGAAATCATCGAATGACTGCTCCCGCCTGGGTGAGGCGGGAGGGAGTGTCAGACTCTTACTGACTAAAAACCACCCCGTTCCTTCTCCTGCACGTCGAGTCGGAGCCCCGGTTACCCGTTAGGTTCTCCGCGACAGCGGGAATAGGGTAGATGCCTAATTTTTATTTTAATGTCCGTCTGGTAGATTATTTTAAATCATTAGACATGTATTTTTTATTTTTTTACAGAAACGAATACTTTTGACGATAATATATTTGAAATGTCATGTAAATGAAATGAAAAAAAATTAAAAAAAAAAATGTCGCGTGACGTCACCTCTATGTACATTTTATACGTAGAAATGACGTTTTACCCCTACTCCTAAACTTTGATTCGTTTTATCTAAGTATTTTGTTATTATACGACAAAATAAAAAATACGTGTCTAATATTTTTTCATTACCTAGGTAACTTACGGACTAATTACATTTTTAATTTTCATACCCTGTCATCATCCCAATTATTTGGTTCGTCTATAACAGCACAAATAAATATTTACAGAAATATCTACACTAATCTAATAAATGATAGTTTCAAATAATACATCCCCATCCCATTTAATCACGGCACAGCATCGGATTTCTCCAAAACGGCAACTTATGACAAGTTATACTGGTTACCTTCAGACGGCATAGGCTATGTTTATTTGATACCGGCAAATAAACGATAAATATATCGACATTATGTACCAAAAATAACATAATTACAATAAGTATCTACCGCAGTACCCACGGCCGATGTTGTCATAACGTTATTAATTAAAATTGAAAATCATTTTTCAGGGAACAATGAAATCAAAATTCGAAGACACTTCAGGATCGTTCGGATCATGTTGGAGTATGGTGGATGGTGGAGAGGGTTGCAGTGTCGAGGTATGATACATTATATTAGTGCCTAAAAATTAGTAGGCAAATGGCAGAATAAATTAAGCATTAAAAATACTAAATAGATTTTAATATAGGGAGCCAAAGATAACCGGATGGCACCGTAGAAATAAACGAACAGGTAAAGAAACTAGGCCTTGTTTATAAAATAAATACCTACACTCCATAAAAGCAATAGGGTTGTCACTATTACTTAATGTTTTTGATATTGTTTGTTTTTATGAAAAAAAAAAACAAATATGTTTCGTAGTGATCAACAAACTGAATAGATATATAGGTAACTAGATTATAAATAAAATTTAAATGGTAATTTCAATTAC